TTAATGATAATAATGCTAGGTTTCGTTGAAGGAAAATAGAATCATTAGAAGCGAAGCGCTGCCCGAGTTTGGAATCATCACCTTCACAAGTAAGTGCATAGTCTTTTTCATGAACATGATTTTAATACAAATATTGATTCAAGTATTAAATATATGTTTATGTGCGAGTTATTTGATGTTGTTTTAAATACGTGTTAAAGTATATACCTGATTATATATGATGATTTAGGATAAAGAGCAAACCTAAATTAATTATGGGGAATATTGGGTAGTATCTTCTTATGAGTATGAGTGAGTTATACACAGAGAATAGAACTTTAAATTATGTCATTGATCTGGGAGCATGGATTAGACACAATCATTGTCCCTAGTCCGAGAGTATGGATTGGACATAGTCAATTTTCATTAATCCGGGAGTATGGATTAAAACATAGTCAGTTGTCATCAATCCGGGAGTATGGATTAAGACATAGTCAGTTGTCGTTGTCCTTAGTCCAGGAGTATGGATTCAAACATTTGTCCATAGTCCGAGAGTATGAAATGGGCACAGTTATTGATCCGAGAGCATGGATTAGATTCGGGAGTATGGATTAAGTTAAGAGATAAATTTTAAGGTCTGAGAGTATTGATATTGTCGTTGTGAGGATTGACGGGGTGGGATAAGAGTTTATATATATATAACATTGTGGGATTGAAACCCCTATGTACACACCAGGTTTCCCAACCTGACTCACTCAGTTTATTTGTATCACAGGTGTCGATACGAAACTATATTACACTGAGAGACTAAGGAGATGTGGATCATTAGTGTAAATGAATTTAAGGTCTGTTTATGCTTATGTTTTTGTATTGACGATAACATCCCAATGTTTTAAAAATGAATAAAATATATTTATTCGGTAATGCTTTGATAATATATTTATCATTTTTTTCTGGAAACAAATTCTGCAACATGTTTTCTTTAAAAAAATACTATGATTTTCAAAATAAAGCATAAATAAATCGGTATTTTCTGACCATGGAAATGGGTAGGGGTGACAATTGTTGACACGACACGATAAAAATAAACGACACGAAACGAAATTGGGACGAAACTGAAATTCGAATTCGTGTTCGTGTTAAGTGTAAAAAACACAATGTTGTGTCGTGTCATGTTTGTGTTTAAAATTCAACACAAAATTGACACGATTTAACATTTATTTGTCGTGTTTTTGTGTTTGTCGTGTTTTTCGTGTTATGTATGATTAAATATTAATTAAATAAACTAATTTTTTTTATTATGTTATCTTTGTCATGTCGTGTCATGTTTGTCGTTTTTTAATCAGTTCGTTTTCGTGTTAATTAAAAAAAACACGAAGTCGTGTTGTGTCGTGTTCGTGTTACATAAAACATTGTCGTGTCAGACAAAACACGAGACGATGACCCAATTTGCCACCCCTAGAAATGAGGATGTTACATTCACAAGGTCGGACATCTCCTTCGCGATTAATAAACTTTCACAATTTATGCACTCGCCAACACAAATGCATTGGCAAGCTCTAAAACGCCTGCTACGCTATCTAAAAGGTATCATGGTCTATTTCTTAATCAGAAATCACCATTGGAACTTAATGCCTTTTCTGATTTAAATTAGGGTGGTGTTACAACTGTAGGACGATCAATTACTGCATACATCTTATATCTTGGCTCAAACATTATATCATGGAAGCCGGCTAGGCAAAAATCGGTTTCTCGCTCCTCCACTGAAGCTGAGTACAAGGCACTTGCAAATGTAGTTGTTGAATTGTCTTGGGTCCAAAACCTACTTATTGAAGTGGGCATATCAATTCAGCAGTCACCGCACTTATATTATGACAACACTGGTGCCACTTACATTTGTGTCAATCCTGTCTATCACTCTCGGATGAAACACATTGCATTAGACTATCATTTTGTACGCGAAAAGGTAGTTGTTGGTGATTTAAAGGTTCTACATGTTAACTCAAACGACCAACTTGCCGACATACTCACCAAACCTCTTTCCCGGGCTCCATTTTTATCATTACGATCTAAGATCGGAGTCTCTGATGGATCCTCCATCTTGCGGGGGCATATCACGACTCATACATCTTCAGGGACTAAATTGCAATAATACTTACATCATTTTAATTATAGATACTCAAAATCTGTTGTAATCTATTTTTGGTTCATCCATGTATTGCTCCTTAATTGATGCGCATCTCTGTATATTTATTCAAGAATTGTGAATACAATATTCATTCAAGCCAATTCAAGATCAAGCTATGTTAATATATTCATTGAAACTATACAAATTAATTTATTATGACTTGGAATAAAAACAATTAGATAGTCAAAGAAAATGTATACTCAGGCATCTAATTATTCACATTTTATATAATCTAATTATTCACATTTTATATAATATTGTTTAATTATATATTTATTGCTATGTTTAGCTTAGGTTTAGAAAATTTCCCAATATTGATACTTGATATATAAAAGTCGTGCTTTAGAAATAGTAAAAAAAATGTATCAGAAGGGATAAAATATTGCTACTATTAATGTTAAACATTAATTAAAATCTTATATGTCTTTATTTATGTTAGAATCTATTTCAATATATGTAATGCTTTTTAAAAAAAAAAAAAAAAAAAATCAAATACTTCTGTATATCTTACAACTACACGTACTTTTATACAAATTAGAACAAGTATGGTCTTTTACAAACATACCAAGATTGAGATTTGACTTACCATCATTTTCGTCATCACCAAAAAATGTCTATTGTTTCAAACAAGCATTGTTGGATTTTTATGCATGATGATTAATGTGACCATCGACTATTATTATTAGAAAATATTAAGAAGTGATAACAATTAACGATAATGATCAAAATGGAGGGTGTTTGAACATAAAACGACTACCTTTTTGTGAAATATCACAAAATAATCATCAATTATTCATTTTCATGTAATTTATGAAAATATGATCATCTATTTTGATTTTTTATGATAACCCAAATACTAAAGATACGGATATTCATCTGTGAATAAGAAAAAAATAATTTGACTTTCATTTATTATTGGAGTTACATTATTTAATAAATAATCTAGAAACAGAAGAAAGAAACAAAACCATAAACTATAATTTATTGCAATCTATATAGCCTTGCCTTAGAGAAAGCATAGGCCAACTAATAATGTCTCATTGCTTGTTGGCCGACTCACCCAAAGTTATGACTTTATTGCAAACCCCACACACCTCTTCCAAATACACACCCACACACTATCTAATTTACCATTTCCAACTCTTTATTTAGTTTCACAACTTCATTTTAGTTATCTAGTAAATCTAAGAGATTAAATAAAAAATAGTTATGTTATACCATTAGTGAAATAGTGTTCAAGTTATAAAAGGTTATTTTTGTAATTATTCCATATTATATTATATATATAATATAATTAATCATTTATAAGAAATACTTTATAAATAGAGAAAAAAGTTTGTATGTATAATCTACATGGGTTAAAAACGCGATTAAACCGACTTAATATTTTCACATTCAAGAATAAATTTTTTGGAAACGACAAATGAATTAACGGAGCCTACACACACTTTTAAACGTGCATCCCAAGTTTGAGCTCCGCAAAGCGAGCAAACCCAGCCCCTGACAGGATTACCAGGGAAAATTCCCCCACAATGAGCAATTAAAGAGGATTTATGGAGTCCCAAAGATTCGAACATCCAACCTCACCCCACTGTGGGTTATAAACCCGGTACATCACTAAATATGAACCCCTAAATATGATTTTTTTTCATATAAGAAAATTTCATCAGTATTATGATAAGTTAATAAATGTTATAAAAACAATCAAAATAAAATAGCGGTAATACAATATATATAATTTTAAATAGTTATATGAATCGTGAAACTCTCCTAACATTTTTAGAAACATAGTAAGACACCAACTATTTATAACCAATACGCTCCAATATATTACTTTCAATAGTTATCATTGTCACTTCATTAAGTTTTTCTTGTGACATTGTGGACCGTAAGGAAGACTTTAACAGATTTTGATAATTGATATCTATAATTATCATCTAAAAAAATATTTATTTTTGTTAACCACCATCTATCAATTTAGTTTTCGTTTTATTAGTTGTCTAATGAAATAATCAAATAAAAATTAATTTTCTTATTTCTTTTAAATTTAATTAGTCTAAATATTTTTGTTTAATTACATATATACATATATGTTTATATAACCTTCTTTGGCACCCTTTATAACACGAATCATGTGCGATCGTTCGTATCGCCCATTCTTCAGAGTCACGTTTGTTAAATTTATCTCCCATTTTATTCCCACCCGGGATCTTTATTCAGGGATTTCATATTACCCTGTCAATTTGGATTCATATATCATATTACCAAAGTGATTTAGACATTTGTAGAAACTATCCATTTAAATTCATCTCACTAATGCATTTCGCGACATATGTTGATGTGCCTTGGCCTCATAGCTACTCAACATTACATACTTTCGGCCAACAAGTTTACATGATTTTGGTTAAACTAAATTGGTTGAACCATTTTATGCGACTTTTCATTTTGTGGGACCCATTTTTACAAAAACAAAGCCTACAAAACGAAAACATCAAATTGGTACAAACTCAAATCTAAAACGGACAAGGACAACACCGCAATTTTACATTAAAGTAATCTTTTTTTCGTATAAAGATCGAATCTTTATTGCATGATTACATCATATTCATATTTGACCATTTCGAGCAAAAATCTTGAACCTTAACCTTTTAGCCAGCTTACCTTGTTTGGGTGTGTTGGGTGGTGGTTGACAAATATTTCAGATGCCTTGCCTGCCGATTTTCATCCATTTATAATCTTAAGTTCTTAACTATATATAAACACACACACTTCATAGTTCATATTTCAAATCTGTTTTATACCATAAACTCAATAAAAGAATAATCTTTAATTTATGGAAGAATTCAACCATTTTGGGTTCTCTTCCACCAATATTCATCAACACCTACCAATTCGCCGGTTTTCACAGGCAGCACGTGTTGAAGAACACCACCAATTCCTATCAGATGATCATAACTCATCATGGGAGCTCCTTCATCACCTTGATGATCAAGTTTATCCACCGGAAATGGCTCCTGCTTCTGCGGATTCCATGGAAGAGTTCCAATTTGTCGACAGCTTCTTCAACATCGAAAATATCTACAATGAAGACTCATCATATAATAACTCTTTCTTCCCTGAAGTTGTTCTTGATGACACTTTCTTGATCCCTGACGACAATGGAGATTTTCCGATGATGATCGATATGAGTATGAGCAGTTCATATGAAGATGCTACCTCGCCGGAAATGTCTGTACAACCGGCAGCCACCGTAGACAACCAGGATCAGGTGAACGTAAATGGTGTCGACGACGGTTTACAACTGGTCCACCTCCTCTTAGCCTGTGCAGAGGCGGTGGGTTGCCGGGACACTCAACTCGCCGATTCAATTCTCTCCCAGATTTGGCACTCTGCTAACCCTTTTGGTGATTCCTTACAAAGGGTATCCTATTGTTTTGCAATGGGGTTAAAATCAAGACTTATCCATCTTCAAAAGGGTACCATTTCAATGGCGAACAATTGGGAAGAAGGTGATGTCACGAGGGAGGAGAAGATCGAAGCTTTTCATCTCCTCCACCAGACGACACCATACATTTCGTTCGGATTCATGGTGGCAAACGACGCCATTGTTCAAGCGGCCCAAGGGAAAGATCAAATCCACATTATCGATTTGGGAATGGAACACACGCTCCAGTGGCCGTCATTGATAAGAACCCTAGCATCAACAAAACTCATCCGGATCACCGGAATTCTAGGAGAACGGGGAGAAACCGCGGAGTTGGAATCGGAAATGAAATCCGTGGTCGCCGGAGCGAATTCCGTCGGAATTGAAGTACAGTTCCGACTGATTCCAGGGCCAGCCACTCCGGCGATGCTAACGAGAGAGAATCTAGGAATAAAAGAAGGTGAATCGTTGTTTGTAAACAGCATACTCCATTTGCATACGTATGTGAAGGAGAGCAGAGGTTCCCTGAAAACGATACTTCAGGCGATCAAGAAGTTAGGGCCGACGCTGCTAACGGTGGCGGAGCAAGACGCGAACCACAACGGGCCATTTTTTCTCGGGCGATTTCTTGAATCGTTACATTATTATTCGGCGATATTTGATTCATTGGAAGCAAGAATGGGGAGAAACAGTATGGAGAGGATGAAGATTGAGAGGAATCACTTTGCGGAGGAGATAAGGAATATAGTGGCGTATGAGGGAACGGAAAGGGTGGAGAGACATGAGAGAGCTGATCAATGGCGGCGGCAGTTGGGGAGGGCGGGGTTTCAGGTGGTGACCGGAATGAAAGACCGGCAAGCTATGGTGATGAAGAGTTTAGGCGGTGGTGATGGGTATACAGTGGGGAATGATCAGAAAGGGAATGTTTTGCTTGGTTGGAAAGGGAGGCCGATCATGCTGGCGGCGGCTTGGCAGCCAAGCTCCTCCTAGTGCCGCCTCACTCCGGCCACTTTCCTTTTCTTCTTGGCCCGATTTATTACTTTCCATATACATAATACATGCCATATTTTGATGAGGGTAATTATGTCTTTTACAATGACAACTTTCACCTAGGTGGAATAAAAACATGTCATGATCATAATATCATAATGTTGTATGTAATACGAAAGGGGAGTCGATTGACAAATTAATCTACATTCCATGTAAAAGAGTTTAATTGATTGCTTAATAAAGGCAAGGGGAGTCTTAATCTAATTACTTTGATGGTTCCTATGCCATACACACAATTAAGAACCAATTGAGATCTTGCAATTGCACCAAATCTATTGTAGTTCCAAGTTTAAAGTTTTATAAAATTATTGTTTATGTTGTTCACTTGGAGGTCTTCACACGACAATGCAAGTTATATACTTATGTTGGATGTTATATCTTTGTTGAAAGAAAGTGATTGGAATTCGTAAGATTTTATATGCCAATGTGTCTCACATGCATAGTGTGAAAATTTCAAACACCTTTTAACTTGTGGATTATTAATATTGAGTTAGCCGATAACTTTGATGATGATTAGGGATGAGCTCTTAGCTATACATCATTGCTTTAAATTTGGATGGGATTTCTTATGAGATTCGGGGAATCATGTCATGATGTATCCTTTTTAGCGACAACATTAAGTTTGTGACAGAGACTAAGATTGAGTTGAATGTTAAGTTGGATAGGTGATAGACGACGGTGAAAACAGAGGGGTTATGTATCAACACACGTAAGTCGGAATATATTTGGTACAATTTCAATCGGGACTGTAATGATGGAGTAGACGTATGCATCGATGAGTAAGTACAAATTAGAGTTTAAAGTACTCTTTGTCTATGATCTATAAAGAAGGGTTGTGCATATGAGGCTACCCACCGCCCAACTATGATGTGTGTATATGTTGGTTAAGAAAAAGCAAGAAATGAAGAACAAAGTTGCGAAAATGCCTCGTGTGGACATGCGCTAACACGTTGGAGAGGATACAAAATGCGTCAATTAGAAATACATTAAAAGTGATTTCGATTACTAAAAATTTAAGAAAATAATTATTGTGGTAATTTAGAGATGTCCAAAAGAGGCAACCATCGATCCTTAGGAGTGTGGAGATAGTCATTGTTGATGGCATGAGAAGAGGACGACTGAGGAAGTGAGCAAATAGTGTGAAATTAGACATGAAAAAATTGATTCTTTCTGAGGATCGTGACATTGGATAGAAAGGTGTGTGTGCTTAATATTTGGAAGTGGAGTAGTATATCTTAATGTCTTTTTTTATTTGCTTATGCTTTTCGCATTGTATTTACTTTCTTACTTTTGTTTCCTTTTCTTTTTATATATCAGATGTCAATTATAGAAACATTATCTAAGAGTGGAGGTATGATTGTCTATATCTTACCTCTCATTACCATATTCCTATAAAATTTGGGTATTTTTGTTGTAATAATCATAGTTAGGCTGAGTGGAGTAGTGTCGACTGCACCGAGCTCTACCTTAGACTAAGGAAAGAAGGAAGGAAGAAGATCGAATGGAGAAGAAAGGTGGAAAAAGAAGGCAAATAAGAGAGGACTCGACAGCTGATCATCGAGGTGGTCCACCGAACTCGACATGTTGAGTTGGCGGCACAGTGTATATTGAGGCCGCATCGGATGTCGAGCTCCACTCCGTCAAGCCTTGTGACTATTACATCCCCCAACACACCCACCTCATAATTATAACTGAAAATGCCAATGAAAGGTGGTATTGTTTTCGCATCTATACGTTGTATAGTTTTCCACAAAGAGACTACTAGATTGATGGTAGTGTAAATTTATCAAACAACAATTGATTTATCATGTCTACCAAAGAAAAATGTGGATGTGAACAATAAGAAAAGAAAAAAGTACATAAGCATGCATATCTATCTAACAAGAAACGAAACAAAATCAAAGAGCCATGAAACATTCTAATTGAGACGTATGCCTCTACACAAAACTAATGATCATTAAAGTCGTGTTTGTTATATAGGATAAGACTAAAGGGGACTCTATCTCTATCATCGATGATGAGAATACGAAAGGCATCCACGTATTTACACAAACAAGTATTCAATAGCAAGTCCTTGTTTCATCATTTTACATTTCTCCCGTCCGTCTTGACATGTATGTTATGTAATATCCAAATGGAAACAAATACAATAATAATAATAATAGTAATAATATGAGTTTATGCATGATAAAAGTACACCATGTTTGTATATATATAAGCGTTTGAACAAAGCAATCTACTAGGACGCCTTGTGATGCCCTTTACTCTGTTGCTGACAAGCAGCAGACATGACCCGTAATTGATTTGTTATTTCTGTAAAAGACGGCCTCACAACCGGATCCGGGGCCCAACATTGCTCCATCAACCTTCTCCACTCCGGGTCACAATCACTTGGAATTGTGGGTCTAAGTGTGTTGTTCACAATACCACCTGTAATATTATTATATACATAATAAACTTTTACAAATACTATAAACCAAGTAATAATAATTTGGTTAAAAAAAAAAAATACTCAAGTCAAAGCCTACCTATGATTTGACCATAATGCATATTTGCATATGGCTCTTCGCGAGTAAGAATCTCCCATAACACAATCCCAAATGAGAAAACATCAACCTGTTACATTTTTATAAAATAAATAAATAAATAAATAAATAAATAAATATATATATATATATATATATATATATATATATATATATATATATATATATATATATATATATATATATATATATATATATATATTGACTGAAAATGTATTTAGTATTTAGATTTAAACCTTCTCAGAAACTTTATTGCTGCCACCATTTAGTAGCTCTGGAGCCATCCATGGGAGTGTTCCTCTAACACCACCTGAAACCAAAGTGTTGCGTTTGATTTTTGAAAGTCCAAAGTCACCTACCTGCATAATAATAATCCAATTAAAACTTCATTAATTTTTTTATTTTCTTCTTCCTATTAACTCCTTAATGGGTAATGATGTCTGTCTAAATAAACCATCTGAATGAGACTAAATGACCATTTTACCCTTACATTCCAAACCACAATACCTATCAATCTTAACGTGAGAGGAAAAACACAAAGGGAACATATATGAAGGGTTAAACAAGGTTTTTGGCTTAACCCATTAAGTCGTTCTATCTATCCACATTAAGAGCTTAAATATATTAAGAAACAAAAAACCATGATATTTCTTTCATGTCATGACCTTGCATATAGGGCGAGAAGAATCTTTCATGTTCACCAACAAATTGTCACATTTTAAATCGAAATGAACAATGTTCTTGGAGTGTAGATATTCCATTCCAAATGCTGCATCCATTGCGATTATAAGCCTCTTTCGGTGATCAAGATGCCTAAACATTACATAAAACCAGATATGTTATTAAAATTTATACAGCTAAAAGATTCATTTATTGATCTTTTGCAAAATTCTACCTATCTTTGCGAAGTAAAACATGTCTTAATGAGCCATCAACCATGAATTCTGTTACAGTAGCTAAAGTCCCATCAGGCCCATCTTGTACTACACCATAAAATGCCATTACATTTGGATGATGAAGCTTTGACAGAATATCAGCTTCCCTCCAAAACTCTATTGTCTACAATATAAACAAACATAAACACAAGATGACAAAATTTACCCTCATTTATCACACAAAATGATTTATATATATATATATATATATATATATATATATATATATATATATATATATATATATATGATGCTAACCAGTCTTTCTTGTTCAGATGATCTCCCTGCAAAACAGCTTTTCTTGATGCGCTTGATTGCGACATCTGTCCCTCTCCACTTTCCATGGTACACTGTACCAAAAGTACCAGATCCAAGCTCCCTTAACTCTTCAAGATCTTCATTCCTTATAATCTGCAACAAGAACCATATAAAAAAAAGTTCAAAACTACATTAATCTTTCATGACCTTAAAGCTTTTTGATATTGCATCATTAATTCAACATACCTGTAAAGAACTGATATCAAGATCACCCAAAGAAAGATCGATAGAAGGTAGCGCTTCATTTCTTGTTTCAACCTATGTTAATACAATTGAGCAATGAAGGAACATTCTAAAAAAGTCAACTAGTCAAACGTACATGAACAATAAAAAAAAAAAAAAAAAAAAAGCTACCTCATACTCTGAATCTGGAACTCTCATGTTTTCTGCTAAATCCTCAAACTGTATCCCCTCATTGGCTTCCATCTGTGAAGGATTGTAACTCGGTTGCAAAGATGTTGACTTTTCTTCATCTTCAATGGAAGTGTGATCATCTTTATGGACCACAGAAGCTTCTTCTTTAATATTGTGAAGTCCAGATAAAAACACAAGATGATCTTGATCGATAAGAGAAACATGATCATCCTTGTTTCTGAATTCATCACCTGCTAATTTCTGGAAAAAAGACCAGTTTTTAGGTTCATGATTTGCAATGTTCATGCTCAAATTTGTTCCATCTTGTGGTAATACACCCATTCCAGGTGAATCTTCCGCCATTGCCCTTGCAAACACATCAGATAAAAAATCACGCGGAAACCGGTCGTTTATATCAATCAGAATGTCCCCATGCTCCGCCCGGGAACCACCACTAGCCGCCGGAGCACCGGTGGGGGTGACACCACTAGCCGCCGGAGCCTGACCATGACCACCACCGGCGGCAGCACCACCATCATTCTGATTCTGAACCTGATTCTCTTCGTTTTGAGAAGCTGGATCTTCAACGGATTCCGATGTGTCAACATCGGATTGTAATTGAGAAACAAGGAATTGAGAACCGAGTGAATCGTCTGACTTGGTCAACCGATTAAACTCCGTGGGCCCACGTGGGATCCTCTCGGAATGATAAACACGTGGGGGTGCGACAGGTGGCACGACAGCTGGCGGGGGCTCAAGGTAACTCAAATCAATAAGATCAGACCCT